TCCTTCCATCACCTTCCACCGTTTCCCTTCCCTCACCGTTACTCACTCTAACAAACAAACCCTCGCCGCCACCGCATTCCACTTCATCAAATCTAACTCCGGCAACGTCCAATCCAAGCTCCGTCAAATCTCTCAAACCTCGGTTATCAAATCCTTCATCATCGACCTCTTCTGCACTTCCGCTATGGAAGTCGCTTCCGAAATCGGAATTCCGGTTTACTATTTCTTCACTTCTGGTGCTGCGGTTCTGTCTCTGTATTCCTACTTTCCGAAGATTCACGCTGAAACGACGGTGTCGTTTAGGGATATGGTTGGACTTGAGATTGTTGTGCCGGGAAATGCGGCGTTGGATGCGGTGATGATGCCGGAACCGGTGCTTGATAGGGATGATCCTGCTTATTGGGATATGTTGTATTTCTGTGAGCATCTTTCGATGGCGAAGGGAATCGTGGTGAATACGTTTCGTGAACTGGAAGTTACGGCGGTTAAGGCGGTTGAGGATGGTGCGTGTTTTCCGGATCGGAAAAGAAGTCCTCCTCCTGTTTACTGTATCGGACCGTTGATTGCTGAAGCTCAACAACCAGGTCAGTTGACTCAACTGATAGTCTAAAAAATATAGAACACCGACACCGCTTCATATAGCATAGTATTTGACTCTCTATACATGTCTCGTTCTGGCGCGGTCTGACGTGTTTTTGGCCACTGTACCGTTCCGCGTTGATATATCGGCCATTCTGGACGAGCTTAACAAACTAGCTTAGGAGTATTTATGAAATAAGTTTATGCATTTTTGTTTATAAAAAATTTCATATAATTTGAGAGGTATTCATAAAAAAGCTAAACAATAGTATCATTTATGAAGAATTAACTTACATAATAAAGGTATAGTCTCAAAGTTGTTTATGAAAAATGAAATAAGTGGTCTTATGATAGAATTTAAACCTTGTACTAGAGACTTTCATTTATAAGTTCAAGTTCTTGCAAGGCTATTTTTATTCCTTCTTGTAAAAGTGACTTATGAGTTCATTCAAAACTAGTCAAAACCTTATACTAAAGAAAATTTCCAAAATTTTGTGTTGTTATTTTGGTCATCCCAAAATCAGTTTATCATCAATGCAGTGAAAGTACAGCTTAGCCTTACAATGGAATTTGTTAAATACCTTTTAAGCCTTGAAGTCTATTTGTTTGCCTTAGCCATCTGTAATTTAAACTTATAGCAACTCTTGTGTTTCTCTTGTCTTGTTTTCATAATTATAATGAAGTTATCTTTACTATAAAAATAAGATGAAGCAATGATTGTTTGCATGAAAATCAGATGAAGCAACGGGCAGAGAAGATTGCTTATCGTGGCTAGATAAACAACCGAGTAGAAGCGTTGTTTACTTGTGTTTTGGAAGCCGTGGATCTTTCTCTGTGGCACAGTTGAAGGAGATAGCTGAAGGGTTAGAGAGGAGTGGGCACAGATTTTTATGGGTGTTGAAGAGGCCAGTACAAGAATATCTTGGAAAGAATCAAGTTCATGGCACAGCAGAGGAGTTTGAGTTGAGTTCTATTTTGCCAAGTGGGTTTATAGAGAGAACCAAAGAGAGGGGCCTGGTGGTAAGGTCGTGGGCTCCACAGGTGGAGGTGCTGAGTCGCGAATCAGTCGGTGGGTTTGTGAGTCACTGTGGCTGGAACTCGGTGCTGGAAGCGGTGGTTGCTGGAGTTCCAATGATTGCATGGCCATTGTATGCAGAGCAGCATGTTAATAGGAACGCGATGGTGGAGGACATGAAGGTCGCTGTTGCAGTGGAGCAAAGGGGAGGAGATGGGTTTGTTAGTGGAGAAGAAGTGGAGAAGAAGGTACGGGAGTTGATGCAGTCTGAGAGAGGGACAGAGATAAGGGAAACGATTTTGAAATTCAAAGAGATGGCTAGTGATGCACTTGGAGAATTTGGGTCATCTACGAAAGCACTTTCCAACCTGGTTCAAACATGGAACAATAACTAATTCCATTGCGATAAGTTGCAAGTACGATTATTGATTAATATTGTAAACGTGTAATGGAACTGGATATCTTCAGCTCTTTTGCAAGGTAACTTTTGCATTTTCGTTGTAGTTGCTGCATTGCATTATTTTGCTTCTATATTATTTTTACAAATGTAGACTCCAATATTCAAACTGCTCCTGCACCATTTGTCCCTGCGTGCTTCATCCTCGTTCATCTTTAGGTCCTTTTATGTTGTATTACTCTGTGCCAAGTAGTTATTGCAACTGATTTTAATGAAGAAAATATGGATTCCAAGCTGTTCACCCGTGCTACTCATTAATCAGTATTGGTTTGACTTCTGATAGAAGAGTCGTCACCGAACTTTATTTATCCCATGAGGGGAAAGGAAAATATCGAGAAAATCTTAAGAAAGAAACGGATAATATGGTCTCGCAATCAAGAACGGATTTGGAAGCCGGTTATGCGAAGGGAAGGTATTAACACCCCTCGCATCCATCGTACTCGATGGAAACCATTTGTTTGTCGACGTGTGAAGGTATTTGCTAAAAGGTTATTGCTTCTTATGAGTGTTCCAAAGGATAAAGAGAGGTTAGAAACAGGGGAAAGAGAGGTAACGGGGAAAGAAGAGACTCGGTAGGACTTCGCGGTCCTAGGCCTACGTATTCTCAACAGATATGAGAAAGTTAGAGTGGACGTAGTTCAGGAAACTACAGGTATAGATAAAAGTGTGCTCGACAAGGATTGTGGCCCTTGTGGCTACGTATCTTTACTTGAAACAAGTAAAGAATCAGAGCAGCCGTAGTTCGGCCTACGGTTTGCGGGGAAGTTCTGGTAGACGATGCTATCGTGCGCATTCTAGCAGTTTAGGTGTATTGTTGCTCGCTCGTTGGAGACTTAGGCGTCACCTGTTTGCGGTAGAACGGACGTATCATGTTCTTCTGGGAAATGGTGGAAAAGAGAAAAGGGTGATCGCCAAGACATCGCCGTCTTGTGCCTACGTATTCTCAACATGCATGAGAAATCAAAGCAACGTAGTTCGTGAAACGGGTAACCAGTGTTTTTGTGGATGATATTATCGCAACGCATTCTAGCAGTTTAAGTGTATTGCTGCTCGCTCGTTGGAGACTTAGGCGTTACCTGTTTGCGGTAGAACAGACGTAACATATCTTTTTGAAAGATTAGTTTTTGCCATGCGAGGCAAGATGTCACATTTGATTTGTGGAAGATTTTTAGGGTCGAAATAGGTCCTCGGATAGTAACCCCTTGCGGGTAGTACCCAATTCTTTATCTCAAAGTTTTTATTGAAAAGGTGTGGCGAATACAAGTGTGTCTTCGTATTGAAAGACGGGTATTGAGACCACACACTCTACAGTGAGTATCCTGACACTCGGAGAGGAAGAAGTCTACACTCAATCCTCTCTCTTTAGTTCAATACAAAGAGAACTTCATTCTCTTATTAAAGGTGTTTTTGGTCTTGAATGGTAAGTGTTTTGCGACAGTGAACCCTACGGTAATGTCAAGCAATCGGGATAGGAGAAGGCCTACGCCTAACTACTCCACGACCATTCAAGTTTTTGTTGTGAAAAGAAAAATGAAAATTCACTCGGTACGGGACCAAGATTTAGGAGAAAAGGTGTGACGAATACAAGCATCTTTGTATTGAAAGACGAGTATCGAGACCACACATTCTACAGTGAGTATCCTGACACTCAGAGAGGAAAAAATCTACACTCAATCCTCTCTCTTTAGTTCAATACAAAGAGAACTTTATCCTTTTATTAAAGATGTTTTTGAGAAGATGCGAAAGAGATAGGAGGTGAATACGAATATACACAGGTGATATGGATAATATACAGGATATATAACCAACAGTCCATCAATTAGGATTTTATGGTTCCGATATTTACAAGAATATGAAATAATATACAGATTAACGATATATACAAGAATATTATGACTGAATTTAAAGCAGTTAATATTTGACAGAAAATAAGGTTAGTGGTTAGTTTTGTTAGTGAATTTCAAAGTGCATTGTGAATCAATCACCCGTCCTTGTCTACTTCTACTCATTAGTCTTAACTTAAGATCGATTTAGATTGGCTTATTTGAGACTGTTTGAAACAGCTTATGGACAAAGCTTACAACATGTTCTGTAAGTTGCTTTTAGTTCATTTTCTTATACTTTTCATCATAGCTTATACTTATGCATTAATGTGAGAAGCACTTAATTATAAATTGTTTATCTAAACAGGATTTAGGACTTATTTTGGGTGAGTATTTTTAACCTTTGAGAGCTTCTCAATAAAGTATCTAAATCCCGCTTAAAATGCTCATAGATCTTAATTATAGTTTTTACTTTTTATTTTAGTCTCTATCCCACAATGATGTAGTACATAAATATTTCATAAAGTGTCTGCGTCACTCTCAATATTTAACTTCCCAATTATTGTCATGGTGAATAGAATACAATATAATTGATAAGGTTGGTTTAGTAAAATTATACTATTATCTTTCTTTCATTTAGAATATTCCTTTAATATATGTCCTTTATTGTGAGATGGAGGGATTTTATAAACGACAAAATTTAGATGTATTTCGTTATGTGTTTTTGGTTAATAATGTTTTATGAAAGTTTGACAAAAAATGGATATTCTATATCCTAAAAGAAGAAGTCATTACAATTATGAATATTTTAAGTGAATATTTGTAGTTGGTATATCTAAATCCACCCATTATTAATTAATCTCATGTTTTTGTCTTCTATCCTCTTTTCCACTCTTAGACTTTATTCTCTCTACTGCTATGCCGGCAGCAGTGTGTCAGTTACATCACTCTTCATCACACTTTTATTACTATATATTGTTTGTTATAAATCATATAATAGTATAACAGTATCATCAACCACAAAACCCCAAGAAAGAAAAAACTATCCACCAAATCAAAACTACTGCATTCCACTTACCCAGACCATTTGTGTTGTGCCTGTGACCAAAGTAACTTACCAAAGAAGATGGAAGAAACAACAACAACAATAGTGATGTATCCAGCACCAGGCATAGGTCACATAATTTCAATGGTAGAACTAGCCAAACTTCTCATTCTCCAACAACAACAACAACACTTCTCCATCACAATCCTTCTCACCACTGGCTTCTTCGACAACCCATCCATTGATTCTTATATAAACCGCATCTCAACCTCTCACCCTTCCATCACCTTCCACCGTTTCCCTTCCGTCACTGCACTCATTCAATCCAACTCACAAAGCTTAGCCGCAACCGGATTCAAGTTCATCAAATCAAACAACGTCAATGTCGAATCTAAACTCTGTCAAACCTCTCAAGCCTCAGTTATCAAATGCTTTATCATTGACCTCTTTTGCTATTCCGCAATGGAAATAGCTTCCACCATGGGAATCCCTGTTTATTACTTCTTCACTTCTGGAGCAGCGGTTCTTGCTCTGTATTCTTACTTCCCGAAGATTCACAGTGAAACAAAGGTGTCGTTTATTGAAATGGTTGGAGTTGAAATTATGGCGCCGGGAAATGCGTCTTTGAATGCGGTGCTGATGCCGGAAATGGTGCTTGATAGGGAAGATCCTGCTTATTGGGTGATGTTGTGTATGTGTGAGCATATTTCACTGGCCAAAGGAATCTTGGTGAATACATTTCTTGAACTTGAAACTACAGCAGTAAAGGCCGTTGTAGATGGTGCGTGTTTTCCAGATCTCGGAAGAAGTCCTCCTCCCATTTACTGTATAGGACCATTGATTGCTGACCCTCAACAACCAGGTCAGTTGACTGCTACTGTTATTTTTTATATTTTCTGTTATTACAAAACTTCCACTTGGCTTGGACTTTATTTGATGAAAGGTGAGTAATGAATGGCAAGTTGTGTGAATATTGTCCAAAACAGAAACAGAAACTATTATCTGTAATTTAAATTCAACACTTTTTGTGCTGCTCTTGTTTTGTTCTTTATAATTATAATGAAGTTTTATGTCTCTACTAACAAATGAAGCATTGATTGTTTGAATGAAAATCAGATGAAGCAAGGGACAGCAAAGATTGCTTGTCATGGCTAGATAAACAACCGAGTAGAACCGTAGTGTACTTGTGTTTTGGGAGCCGTGGATCGTTTTCGATGGCACAGTTGAAGGAAATAGCTGAAGGGTTAGAGAGGAGTGGACACAGATTCTTATGGGTTGTGAAGAGGCCAATACAAGAACACCTTGGAATGAACCAAGTTCACGATACAACAGGGGAGTTTGAGTTGAATTCTGTTTTGTCAAGTGGGTTTATAGAGAGAACCAAAGAGAGAGGCCTGGTGGTAAGGTCATGGGCTCCACAAGTTGAGGTGCTGAGCCGCGAATCAGTCGGAGGGTTTGTGAGTCACTGCGGCTGGAACTCGGTGCTGGAAGGAGTGGTTGCTGGAGTTCCAATGATTGCATGGCCATTGTATGCAGAGCAGCATGTTAATAGGAATGTGATGGTGGAGGACATGAAGGTGGCTGTCGCGGTGGAGCAAAGGGAAGGAGATATGTTTGTGAGTGGAGAAGAAGTGGAGAAGAGGGTGAGAGAGTTGATGGAGTCTGAGAGAGGGAGAGAGATAAGGGAGAGAAGTTTGAAGTTCAAAGACATGGCTAGAGATGCACTTGGAGAATTTGGGTCATCCACAAAAGCACTTTCCAACTTGGTTCAAACATGGAATGATGATAACTAATTCCATTGTGCCAATGTGGAAGGTAAAATTTTCATTTTTAATTGTTGCTTTTAGGTTTTATCTTATAATAGAAATCTACTTGAAATTCAAACTTATGTTAACTGTTTATAGTTTATATGAAAGTAGTTTGATTACATTTTATTTTGTTTTAAAAATAATTTATGTACAAGCATTTAAATAATTAGTATTTATAATATAAATGGTTAATTAAGTTATTTATCCTAATAGGATTTTGGACCCATTTTGGATGAACTTGTAGTTTTGAAAGTTTATCAATTAATTTAAGTATTATAAAAGTCCATATATGTATATGAAGAATTTAAATAAAGAAGCATTTGAAAAGGTAAAAATACAACAAGTCGATACTCTATTTCAAAATAGTTCATACATTTGTAGAAAAAAAGGTGAAACTTTTCAACTTTTAATGTAACATTAATTACACTTTTTTTTTTCTTCCTTTTTTTTTAATAAGACTACCTCCGTTTTTTATAAGAGACCATTTACTTTTTAAGTTTATTGAATAATCAATGTATCTAGTCTACAAATGGATCAAATACATTTATTATACAATGAACCTAAATAATAAGTTGTCTCTTATATAAAAGAACGATTGTAGTATTGTTTTACCCCTGCTATATAAAAACAATACTCGTTTTACCCCAATTCAACTTTTCCTACTTCGTATTATTGGTAAAGGCACGATTACACTAATAAATAAGATATTTTAGTAAAAATGTTCCTTTTGCATGTGAATCTCGAGCTCCAATCAACTACGAGCTTCAAGCCCCCATTCTGAGTTTGGGATAACCACTAGTCTTCATTTTGAACTAGCGAACATGTCTCATTCACAACAACCACGACATATGATGCATGCCAATTAATCATACAATGACACAGTATCATAATGAATGGGTCTCACTCGGACTGTAAACATCCACACAACAATAACATGGTAAGGACTACAGTCCCACTCTGACTGTAACTCATCACGCGCTCAACATAACACGAGTAGTTCTCACCCCGAACCGCTCGCCTCATCAATCACATAAGCATGTATAATCATCACAAAAAAATTATTTTACCAAAACACTATACGCTTCAAACGACATATCATTTAGACTTATGGAACAAAAGTTACGGCCAAAATTGTCGGGGAATAAAACAAAGGCAAAACATATTTTTTCCCACAAATTAGCCTAAGGCAATCGATTATCATCAATGATGATTCGCTGCTGACTTCAATGTAATCGATCATTTCCTCACACTAATCGATTGACATTTATTTTTTTCTTCAAAAATACACATAAGTAATCGATTGTCATAGGCAAAATTTCCAAAAATACACTGATGCAATCAATTGCTCCCCAATAATAATCGATTGTTATAGGCAAATTTTTCCAAAAATAAGGGCATGCAATCGATTTTCATCTAATGTCAATCGATTGTCATTATGAATTTTTCTAAAGGTCCCTATTTCCTCTACATCGCTCGTCTTTCCCATCCCACACCTCTTACCACTCATACTAGTGCCTATTTTATCAATCAAAACACCATTGATTCACATCCTATTATGACCAATACATCAAATAACCCCAGAATAACATTGATCCATTTTGTTTATCATGAATTAATTCATTATAGATATGCCCTAAAATCTCCAATTCAACATAGTTTTATCATAACATCAATGGAATCGTGAACATCAAACAAAACACATATTATCACATCAATCCATGGCAAAACAAAATCACAACATTCATCTATCAGGCTCATAATCAATCAATAGAGAAAACATAAAACCCTATTAGAGATTAAGGGAAATCACTCTACGCTTTCGTGTTATAAGCACCCTTAGATGAAGAATCCCCGCTCCCTACCTTGTAATTCCAGGAAAAATCAGCAAGGAAAGCATCAAAATTTTCTCCTTCAACGTTCTTATCTCAAGTCCTTTATTTTCATGTATTGATAGAGTATAGTATGGTTTGAAAGGGTTATACAAAAAATTAGAATAGTATGGATCAACCATTGATGAATGAGAAGGACGTGGAGTTCAAGTCTCTTTTTTTAGCCATCTATTCTTAAATTTTGTTCGAGCATAGCTTCCTTATACTATAACCTTTGCAAAACTAAATTTGAATCCGAATTCCCCTTATTACAACCTCAAGAGAAACCTGATCAATTGAATTTTCCACAACCTGGTCTTGAACATTTAACTCCTTCCTCCTCAACACCCAACTCAATTTCCCCCAAAACTTCATAATTCCACACTTTCAATTTTGATCACATCTTTTTAAGTTTTTCTTTGAACACAAATACACACATTCCTTTCACTTTAGATGAATTCCACGTGTTTTCCACAATTAAAACCTTGAAAGATTTTGGACCCCAATTGACACCGCTTGCCTTTATCCATATGTGACAGTGATCTGACACTTCCTTGCTTCCCACAAATTGACCAACAGTTACCCAATTCTAAATGAGACCTTTAAATAACAAAAACATGTCTAATGTACTCATGGTGCTCCCACCACTATTAATCCAAGTATACTTGTTTCCTAAAGAAGATGAATCAACCAAGTTCAGATGATTTATGAATTCACTAAATTCAAGAATTTCAAAACTATTGACTTGAGAGCTATTTCCTTTTCTTTGTCCCTTCTCTTAACTGGATTAAAATCACCTGTCAAACACCACCCTCCCCTTGGATACTTGTTTCTAAGTTGTCATTGGTCAGACCACAACTTCCTCTTTGTATGAATGCATCACAGTGAGTATATGTTCACTATGAAATAATACTTTCCATTCCACTTTAATTTAATCCCCATGAAACCATCATCACAAAGAAAGGAAATATTTTTCTTATTGTTGATTAATGAAAAAGGTACATAGCAGTGGTATTTATACTGTATGAGAAACTAATTAATAAGAAGGAAAAGTAATAGAAAACTAAAACTAAGGCTAAAGTAACGGAAAAGAAAATACAATAAGATATATTATTTCATATTCATATCTAAAATTTCTCGTGGGATTTAAGTGTTTTGCACGCTGAAGAAAAAAAAAACGTTACTAACTAAACCTATCATCAATGGCATAAAATATAGGTAAATGAAATTAGACTTATGTTAGGTTTTTGATATATTAAATAGGTAGAAGTCAAATGACAAGAATGTAAATTTTTAGATTGGGAATCAGAGATGAATTTGATTGAGTCAATATTTTAAAATCACTAACAGATTAAAATTGAAAAAAAACTATTTGAATCGTACAAAATCATTTGAACTAAAGAATCAGATGATTTTATAAAACTGTCATCAAACTGACTTTCTTTTTTTAAAGTTTAATAGGTCAGTGTTAAAACTTAACATACATTTCTCAATCATAAAAAATTTTTTTGTGTTTTTTTACAACCATACAAATTTCAAAGTTTTATCACTCCGTTATAATTTTTCTTTCCACCACACTTAATCATTATCACTTCGTCTCTTTCAAACATAATCATAGTGTCTAACTCAATATTGATTTCTATTCAAATCAACAATTTTTTTTTGTCAATTATGATTTAGTTGAATTTCATTTTTGTTTTTGTTTTTTAATTAAGTATATTGTATTGTTTATTTTTTGTATTCTATCTTATTTAGTTGGGGTATACTTTATTATTTGATCTTTATTTTAGTTATTATATTTTATCATATTAATTTTGGTTTGAATTAGTTTAACTTATTTTATTGTAATTTTTAATTTGTTCAAATTATTTTTAAAAGAAATTTGAAAATAAATGTACTACTATATTTGTTATTATATGCACTATTAATATTGTTGTATTAAATTTGTAATGGATTTTTGAAATATTAATTTTATTAAATTGTGAACATATAACTATGTGTGACATATTTATAAAAATTAACTTTATATTATTAATTTATTTAATAAATAATTTGACTGTAGAATTAATTAATTGAACAAATTAAACCTATCAGTTCAATATTCAATTCGTTTTTAAAACATTAATATTTTTGCATTGATTGATATTAAAAATACCACAACTTAAAAGAATTAACAAATAAAACAACTAATAATATTAGATCATTAGGTCATAAAATTACAAACTGAAATAGAAAATTTTCAAATATTTTTCTATAAAAACAAACTTATGCAATTACAAGCGATGTGAATTTTCTCAAAACTAAACGAGTATTTTGTAAGTTTGAAACACTTTCTAGTTGTAATTGTAGGAGGGAACTTTTTCTCTCTCTCAGATTCAAATATCTATTTTGGATATTTTTTACTATCATGGAAATCTACCCAAACTCAATATTTTAAAAGAATGTTTAACACCAAATATTCTAAAACTCTGGTATTAAATATACATATTTTAAATAATTAAATTTTAACACCTGTTTTCAGTCGATACATTTATAAACAATTAAAACAATAAAATCAAGTGTTAAAGGAAAGAAAATAAAACATGGTTGAATCCTTATTTGTATTAATAAAGTATAATAATAGTAATGTAGAAACAAATGAATCCTTATTTTGTATTAATAAAGTATAATAATAGTAATAAAGAAACAAAGTAATTCATATAAGAAATAAGATACTAGTATAAAGTTATTGCAAAAAAGTGTTAGTAAAAAAAACTCAATACATTTAGTTAAATGTGAGAAAATATTTATATATCACCATTTACACATACATTTTATACTAATATAAAATATATAATAATTTGTACATTTTTTTACATAACCTCATAGTTAGTACATGTGGTTATATTTTGTGTGAGTATAACAGAAATGATAATAAAATACATATAGTTTGCATAGATTTTGTGTTAAACATTAAATTTTTGTTATTTTTATGTGATTATATCATATAGTTTTTATGAGTTAATATTAAGAGACATACATGATTATTTTATGTTAAGAAAATAAAATGTCACACAATAAATTATTTGTTAAACATGAAGAAATTTAAATTGTGTGTTTGGTTACTAATTTACTTAA